CCCCCCCCCCGAAACCATATTGCGCGTGCGCCGCAGTCTAATCGTGTTTACTCTATGCATTCGCGCACTATTTAGGCAAGTTCAAGTAGTTCGTAAACCATCCCACGATCCATTTTTACTTGAAATGTCGGGACAATCTTTTCCTCCAGGTCACGTGTGCACGAGTTGTGTGAACACCTATGCTGTATTCTCGAATGTATCATTGCGTCAGTTGCTGCTGTGCTGGTATTTCCGCCAAGACTTTCTTTCACTGTATGGGGATGTGCTCGATCGAGCATTAAGGAGTGGTGAGTGAATTTCCTCTCTCAGTACTAGGTATTCTGACATAACCATGGCATATGAACTTCTTTCCTTGTTCTGTTTGCTCCTTAATTTGCGCAGTATCAAACGGATAACATATCAAGTGGGAATACCTCTTTCAAGCTATGAGCCGCTTCTTCAGTTATCGAGGATTGAATTCTCGGTACTGGAACCAAATGTACCACCCTATTAGAAGGCCTCAGCACTTTTTATGCTATTTGTAAGCAGCATTGCCATCCCTCTCTGCAACCCGCAATGTATATCTTATAAATATGGAAGTACTGATGAATAAAGTGATTCTGCAGTGACGCTGCGTGTTCATTTGCCATTGTGGCGGCATAGCTTTATGAAAACGAGGTACATGTGGTAAATCGGCTGTCGATTTCCATGGCATCAGAGTCAATTGCTGCTAATTTTCACCTGCACTTGTATACGACTGTTAGTATGCCAGCCCTGGACCCTGAAAGAAAATACAAACGTGTCAGCACGTAATTGCGTGGCACTTCATGTGCTCTTTTGGTCACATTCGTAGCTCAGAGCTGCCTTTCGGCGAATAGGCGAATTGGAAACCGAAGTAGTCAGGTATGCTGTCTTGGGTAGAAGTGCGTCGGGTCGAGGTCATGAAAATGTAAAAATCGAATGAAAGAGATTGTCATTAGAGGGGAATCCTTTGTTGATAACACCCGCATGGATCTCAGACTGCGATCATACTACGATGATCTTGAAGCTCGAATATATGTAGAGTAGATACGTCCGATCATGGGTCAATGGTGCGACCGTGCAATCGGTTAAACGGAAGTAGGGTATGCCGGCGGATGTTCGATCAAATTTCCTCTACTACTTCTACAAGGGAATGTGGTAGTGATGTTGTGATGTACTTTGCTGGCTCCGCCATGATTATATGTACGGTAGAAATTTCCCAAGTAAAAGCGTTCAAAATTCTAAAAGTTGTCGCCCTAGTTAGCGTTTCTTAGAGCTATAAGGAGCAAGAGGTGTCCTAATTTTATTGGCTAAGTATTCTTATCTAAGACCTGGTCATGGCATTCAAGTATATAGTGGAACATCGTGGTGTATACGTTAGCGACTCTTGATACGTCGTGATACAAACAGAAGAAATAACGACCAGAGTGTGAAGCGCGGCAGTTACTTTGAGCAGGTAGGTTGTAGAGAGAAAAGAACTAGGCACCCCCGATAAGGACCTGAGGTCCGACTTATTAACCATTTCTAAGGTCATCCGTCACGATTACGGTAATTGCTCACGGCCGTTTTCCAATTTCTTGCTTCAACCTTTACGGAGTTAGCTTTCAGAAGAAGTTGCCGATCTCGCAGATGCTTGGTTTGCTCTATATTGCAGGGTTCAAGCTGGCAAGCAACATCTGGTGCTTTCTAGTTCGAACCCCTAATAAAAGAATGGTAGAAGAATATTTCTTCCTGTATTTAGTTCCTTCCTTCAGGTATCCTGAATTATACAACCCTATAATTAATCATGTTAAACCGATGCGGTGTTCTTATGAAGTGGTTTTTCCTCTGTGAGTTGGTTTCCGAATTTTTGAGCGATTTCCTTCTCAGGCAGCTTTTATTTTGTAATACTCCATTTAGATATTCTCTACCGTTTGTGTATCTGTTGTTTCTTTTATTTTCTGTTCTGTGCTGCCGCTCGATACTATACATTTTCGTTTTGAAGCGAAACAGAGATGCGAAAGCATTTTATTATGCTCTCCTGTCTATCCCTAAGATTGCAGTCATACATGCCCTTTTGGTAGGTTGAAACTTACTACTACAACAGGATCTTTTGACTTTATTTATTTGAAGGCTGGTGTGCTCTATCAATCGTATCCGTATATCGTGATGTTGTGGAGTTTATGCGCAAATGCAGTGCATTTAGCTGCAGAAGGCAAAATATCGATGAAGGAGATTACAAGTGGGTTTTGAATTTTCTTCCCTCACTTTGTTGTAATTCAGTTGTAGTAGTCATGAGTTAGTCTTACGCGGTGTACCCATTGAAAAGCTTTCTTCGTATCGTTCGGTAGGAAATGATTTATAAAAAAAATTCCTGTTGCTATGTGCACCTGCACAAACAGTGTGAATTATTGTCACAACAAATTTATGTTACCAGACAGCACCGCTCGCTACGGCGCGCTCCACACTGCTCTTGGCGTCTTCGAAAAACACCAGCCACGACCACCCCTCCCCCTGCCCTCCATAGTGGAATTACTCCCACATTACCTTAGCCTAACGCTCGCAATAGCCGTTCTCTCTCACAGTCTCTCTCCCTAAAGCTCGTAACACCGACCCTCCTATCGCATGCACTCTCCCACCGTCTGACATTTGCTCTCTCTCTCCGACACTTCGCTGCTCCCTCGCCTAGCTTAGCACGCGTTACCCTTTCACATTGCAGTGATCCCTAATAAACTATTAGATACACACACATACAGACAACAGACATACTTAGCTCATTATATTGGTAACATGATAGAGTGAAAATTTTGTATTTGGTAGAAGTAACAGGCAATTTAAACGGAAGGACCGGAAACTCTTTTCTACTTTAAGTAATTGTGTACATTTGGTTTTTAATATGAGCAAATCTTTGAAATTCGTTCTCATTTTAGAAGTCGTTTGCACCTCGCCGATGCACATGGTGATGCTTACGGTCAACATGACTCTCCTGGCATTTTCTCTGCTGGCTATCTCGGCTCAAAAGTGAGTTTCACTTTCTGCTGTTTTCAGCTTTGTTACAGTTACCAGCAACACTGCATTTGTAAGTCAATTTGTCCGGCTATAGCACCATACACTAGGTTGTAGGGAAAGTTCTTGCCGTTCAGGACCCTGAGGTTCGAATGTACATATCTCGACTCACACACAACATTTTCGTTCAAAGTGAAAACTATTATTATGTACCCTTCTTTGCCAACATCAGATGAATTTGATCAATCTATTCTCTGAAAGTAATGGAGTTGGTGATAAAGGATCGCTCCAGCAGTGTTAGATTCCGTAGCATTTCCTCTTTTAAGGTACTATCTAGACGGGTGAAAAAGTGGCAGTGAATAGGTAAGAGGTCTAGTGAGTAGGACGTTTCGGGCATAATATAGTACTCCAGCTAGCGGGGTTTTTTTGCGGGGTTGGGCCTCTGCGGGTGCATCGCAGGGATGAGTCGGCCCATTAATGGCACTTTGCTGAGCCCATATGTTAATGTTCCGGCATATTTTGACACCTGCTGAGAGTACTGTTCTACTATAATAGTTCCGCCTGTGCTCGGAGAGCTGCGCCTGCTGCAGACCGCGTGAAAGGCAGCACAACCTTCTCCTCGTGCAGTTTCATCCTTTGCAAATTTTTGTTGAACCTATTCGAAATCGAACTACTTACTTAGCCGAGGTTCATTGGTTACTGCGAGGAATCCATTCTACATTGCACGTCGCATTCCGAACGAAAAACGTCTTGTTTTTGTTAGAGGAAAGAAGACAGAAGAAAGGCCGAAGGTCCTTCAAGACCGCGACTTTTTGCGGCACCCTTATCGACTCTTCAGAGCTTTTCAAACTATCCCATGTGACTGAAAGCCAGAAATTAGTTATGCCTAGTTCAGTAAGGGCCTCTCAATACCTCTAAGCTTATTTGGTGATATCAAATATTTCAACTAATTCTTACACCGTTCAGCGCTCCAAGTCTACTGTTTATTCATGT